GCTAACTCACGTATTTAGCAATAACCTGGTGCGCTTCGGAAGCCCCTTGTGCGAACAAACAAAATTTCTGGCCATTGATGCCCGCTTTACACCTACCGTTAACCCCTAGCCATAGCATCTATAAACTGTCTTAAATCATATTTCCTAACAAATGTGATCTACAGTCAATACTGTACATATCACGTATCGATGCCCCTTTCAGTATCTGACATATCGCGTGAAGGCCTGACCTAAAACAGGGGATGAGAAACGGTACGGTGAAGGGATGATGGTGAGGAGAATAATTACGCAGATGACGAGAGCGATTCACGATGCGCGATGCAGCCATTCACATGACAAATCCGTCTCGACACACTACTGCCTGGGTGATGCCTGAACGTGCAGCAGCATTTCTGCAACAACTTAGCACTTGCTTTTCATAAGATGTCGTGCTGCCTGAACACTGGTGTTTTAGACCCGCCCGGGGCATTTTCAGGATATCGTCGAAGCTCACGAGCTTTGGCGGCGAGCCAAGCCTTTCAGGGCCTTTTCAGCTGCATATCACGTCGCTGGGTCCTTTTCGTCGAGCATGAAACGACGTTTGTGTACAGCTCAGCTGTATGGACCTGAAGTTCCGAAGTTTTACAGGCTTTGACAACATCCCTGGCCTTGCTTTTTCAAGCCATGACGTTATCCAGACACGTTAATTGTTTTGCTCGCAGCCATGTTTCTACCGACGGGCGGGCTATGACCAATATCATAAAACAAAAAAGTTCCGTTCGGAGAAGCTGATCGCGATGCCTCATTCGCGTAACGCAATATGCATGCCTCATTGTTTCCACTGATGTCAGAATTAGTTTTCATGTTATGAAATTTCGTAACACTAACATGAAAATTGTACGGCTATTTCACTATCATAGTACAATGATATTGTATTTCCATTATGCATTTATCTCACGGGGTCACCTTTTTGTTTGGCTCACATTTCATTTACCACCGTCAAGGAATGACACGAACTCAAGATAGCTGCCTTCCCTGCCAGAAGAACGGGTACGATGTTGCTCAGTGTTTGCGGACGAGTCTTTCATGCACTGCTGCTGACCGTTCGGCCGCCTGACTCAGCCGCCATGTTCGACGGCTGTAATGCTGGGACCACGCTTCACACACCACATAAATTCAGCGCGCTCAATTTCCGAAATCTAGAGTTCGGGCTGCGAAACTCCAGCATTGCTTCACAGAATCACTCCATACTGCGTGGGAAGTTTGAGGTATCAAATAGCGTATTGGAACTGGCGCTCTGGAAATCTCTGCTTTGCGGCGGCGTTATGATGGGCTTCTTGGATGCGCTGAGTCGAATCGACACGAACAGCAACAATGATAAGGTAACCTGGGTGGGGGGAGGGGGAAAACAATAATGAACATACGCATGTGCGTGCGCTCTTAAAAGAGAGCGAGATTGAGAAAAATATCGGGTTGGGGGGGGGGCGAAGAAAGAAAGAAAAAGAATAGCATGCGCTCGCGTACGGGATCAGTTTGCCCCTTCCCTACCCCCGAAGGTTGTTCCAAAATGGCTTTTAAACGGCGCGGACGTAGCCGAGCCAAACTTTGCATAGCTGTAGGCAGTTGAACAGCGGATCTTGTGGTCAAAACAAACTGAATGTACCTTGTAAGCTAACCTATGACAACTAGGTTAGCTAACCTAGGTCGCTAACCTATGACAGGTCAAAGTCAGGTCGTTGCTGTCAGCGAAGCCCATTTCTAGGGAATTGTTCAGTCGGATGGACAGCGGAGTGTCAGACGAAGCCATAGACATCGGAGATGATCTCTTACGCGACACACCAGTTGACTTTAAATATACAACAAATTCCGCTGGTCTAGGGTCAGCTATGAAGGTCAGACTTAGGTCAAAGATCACCTCCTTTTTCTTCAGAGCTTGCTTACTGGGGTAGTTTCTGGTGCTCATTTCAAACTAATTAACGACAGAGACCGCAAAGCATATGCTTTCATGGGCTTCTTAAGGGTCAAAATAGGTCATTGACCTAAAATGACCCGGGCCAACATTTTTTTTTCAGGAACACCACCTAGCGTAATCCCTGACGATTATTTGAATGATAAGACAGGCAGAAATGTCGTAGTGTTTTATCAAATTGACCCTCTGAAGGTCAAACAAAGGCACGAAACTTAAATGAACACCATTGACCTTTTGCTTCTGTTAGGTATCTAAGTTCACTGCCGTTGCATGAGGAGGTCTGAGGGCACTTTGGGCGCTTATCTAGATTTTTATCTAGTTTGATCTTATTTAACCCCAGGTCATAGTCTAGCCACTCCAAATTTTGACATAGTGAGTTCATATGCAGGTTAACTCACCCTGTGAATTTGGCATCTTTAAATATCTTAGTTTTTTAGATCCCAAGGGGTCAAATTGACCCCTTCCACACAAGTGTAGAGTATTCAACCGGTCACCTGGGTACATGCATTTGGAAACACACAGACGGACAGACAGACAGACAGACAGATAGACAAACAGACAAATTTGAACAGGGGAGAGAGAGACAAAGGGGAGGAAGGCTGGAAAGGAAGGGAGAGACGCAGAGTGGCAACTGGAAGCGAGAAGGGAAAAAGTGAGAGAATCTGTTGTGAATTTCATTCAATGAGCTGGAACTCGGCTTCCTTGATACGTTGGACAAATGTGTTCACGTGAATATCCATGCTGGTCGGTTTAAGGATAACGTTCACACCTTGATAAATGTTCAGCACAATGCATTCCTCAATCCTGGCGATCCTAACGAAATTGAGGCAAAGAAAGGAAGGGAAACGGGAAGGGAAAGGAAGCTAGGAATGGAAAAAGAGAGAGATAGAGAGCTAGAGAGAGAAAGAGGGAGAGAGAGGGGGGAGGGAGAGAGTGGAGAGAGAGAGGAAGGGGGAGAGAGGGGGAAGAGGGAAAGAGAGCGCGCGCGAGAGAGAGAGGGGGAGAGGGTTAGAGAGAGATGAAATGACGAGTAACGAAATAAAAAAGAAGAGGAAGAGAGATCAACTGCATTGTTAAAATGCTTACAAATGCAACAGTGCAAATGCAGCGCGACAAGAGGCGATATAACCTATGCTGTCTGTTGTGTATGGCGACCAATAACTGACGATTCTAAAACTAAAGCTTCTTGGTATCACGCAATGCATGTGCTCATCGAAGCACGACAGCACGACACTGGCAGCAACCACGTTATCGTTCCATCTGCATCTCTCAAAGGCAACACCGCATGTTCCTGCTCGTGAAATAATCGAGGAGACAGAGGCGTGCCATTCTACCCGGCGAGTCACAGACAAGCTCACTTGTCGCCTGAGTGACGCCCCCACGCGCCGACAAGACGGCTGCTCCACCACGAGCGTGTCCCAGTCGTGACTTCTCGCGCCTCGGGCGATCCCAATTGCCGCGTGACGCCGTTGACCGCGCCGCTCCCCGCCGCGACCGCAGCCGCTGCCCCCGGAGCCAATTGCGTCCCGCCAGCACAGCCGCTCAAACGAGCGAGGCGCACGCGATATGTCGCAGCACGTCGATCGGCGACGGGCCGGCGGCGATCGACGGAGAGCGGGCCCGACGCGGCGGAGGTGGGCTGTTGCCGAGCGAGCCGTGCGCGTCCATTACCGTCTGCCTATCCATCTCGGGACGGCGGGGCCCGGGGACTCGGCCGCAGTGCACCCTCTGCCGTCTCCGACGCACTCTGGTCCCGTGGGAAGCTCCTGTGTGCCGGACACGACGGCCGCTGTCGCTGGACTGTCACGCGACTGGAATACTACTCTGGTCACGGAAGATGACCTGATGGCATTGCGTTGATAGCCTGTTTGATTTAATCACCTTTGTTACCAGCATAACTCGTCGCAACACTACTGCTCCTATCGCCGCTAAGTCATCCGCTTTTTTCTTCAGTAACACTGCCACTGCTCCATATGAAGCTTCTAAGCCTTCACACTCAATCCTCTAGCACTTTTAACTGCCCACCCCGTGACCAAACACTCGTAGCTTGCCCCCTCCCCCTAACGCATGAAATACTGACGAATTATTGTGCTCAATTCGGTAACCCAGAGGAACAGTGGCGTGTGGCAATAACCACGCCAGCGAGTGATGTCGGGTATCAGCCCTCGGCGACTACGCCGGCATAGAGAAGAACGCTCTTGGAACCGGGGCCTTCTGTTCATGTTGTTCTACGCAGCAAAAACGCCGTGTTGATGCGTCTGGATACCAGCGTGCGGCTCTTCGTTTACCCAATTACTGATTTCAAAACATGCTTGGTGTGCTCAGATAACACTGGAGCTCTAATGAGCCTTGGCGCAGGCCTAGACATGCGTATGAAATCATTTGAAAGGTTTGTGTGTTTTAGACCGAACAGAAAAACATGAGGCGGCATTCGTCTGGCCATTCGTTACATGACATCCTTAAGTGACAGCGGTGATAAAACTCACATAGGTGTCTGTCGCCACCTCATGCTGTTCAAAAACTCATTGCACAAGGCTCAGAACGGTCCGAACTTAAGCCCTCGAGCAGTCCATTCCGTGCCCATCCGAGCGCGTCCGACCCAGCCGGCGTCCGAAGTCCAGCGCGAGCGCCGGGGCTGATGCCGGCGCAGCGCCAGCCGCCAGGTGCGGTCCGTCGGCGGCATTTACCGGCGGCCGGCCGCCTGTCCGCCGCTGATCGGCCGCCGAGTTCTGCATCAAACACACGCTCCGACCCGATAAACACTCGCGCCGGCCCGCTCGCGTCCCTCCGGCGGGGCGTCCGCGGCGCGCGGCGCGGCGCAGCGCGGCGGGGTCGCGCGGTCAGCAGCGAGATCGATGCGGGCCGCGCGCGCGATACCGCGGCCCGGTTGACCGGCCGGGCGCGGCTGACCCGGCGCACCGGCGGCGAGGCCGGCCGCGCCGGCGGGCCCTCTTCGCGGCCGCCGCGGCACCCTATTTTGGGCGGGAGACGCCGGCTTTTGGCGGCGGCGGCCCGTATAAAAGCGGCGCGTGTGCGCGGCACGCCGCTCGTGTCAACCCAGTGGCCGGAGCGGAGGGCGCAGCGTCGGGGTCGTCGGCACAGGTCGCAACACTCAGCATCGGTGAGTGGCAGCGGCGCGGCCGGCACTCTGGCGCCGGAGGCCCGGTGCGCCGCCCGCCGCGCCCGTCGTGCGCCGGCCGCAGTGGCTGCTGGTGTGGGGTCCGGGCCGGTCTTGCGTCCTGACGTGTCCTGAGAAGAGGGTGAGGTGGACTGCGAGCACAGGGCCCACTCGGCGAGGCTGCCGCTCCTGTGGGCAGAACTGTCCTGGGCAACAGGTGCTTGAGAGTTTGGTACTTAGTGGACTTACATATGGTGTTATATTATATTGTATTATATATATATATATATATATATATATATATATAGCTAGATAGATAGATAGTATTTTGTAAACTTCCAGTGCATAGGGGGCAAAGAGAGTATTAGAAAACCATTATTCCGGGAATGTAAGAAATATTGTGCACGCGCGTCTGAGCAACCGACTATCAGTTAGCACATAAGTAGGTTTGCTCATGTGTAGACCATCACGGTGACACCAAAGTTCATAGTGAGCGTGAGCTAACTGCCCTCATTGCATTTGTTAACTGAATTGTTCTGAAGTTTAGTTATGCTGGACAGGATGCGAAAGACTTGCACTGCATTGGACGCAGTTTTGCATGTGCCAGAGATAAAATACATGTTGCTACTTAAATCTGACTAATTATCGCACTCAAGTTTTGTGCTGTTGTAAAATTAGCGTAAATAAAGTGCGTTGTTTCCGTTTTCCACGTTGAAGCCGTAATGGAATGAAGTGATTGGCATCACACATTAAAGCACTAATTATTTCAGCTATTGCTGGCCTGTGCTTATGACAATGCCAATCATTAAATGACGCGGTATTCCTGCTCAACGACATATTGAAAACGCGTACCGTGCCACCAATGGTTATGGAAGAGCATCCAATGGGAGATTTTTAGCTGTCCGTGTTTCACCGATGTCGATAGTGGTTATTGATAGTCATGTTGCCATTGTAAGCCTCATATTCCGGACCCGACGAGCCGCCTAGAGGTCTACGATGCTTGCTGCTTAAGAATCCGCCGTTCATACAGAGATCTGGAAACTTAAAGAATGGAAGCGATGGCAGTTACCAAATGCACGCGTTTGCCATGCGTATTTCGATATTCAATAATGCTGCTCTGTCTGCCCCGCTCGTCTTCCATGCTCAAGATATAATTCTCCCAAACGGAGCTCTTGGTCCGGACAATCAATGTCTTAGAAGTCTGGGTTTCAGTTATATTGGCTGAAGAGTTGCATTGTAAGTTCGGTCTAAAATTGACGGATATTCAGCACCTGTCAATTCTGAGTCGCGTGAAGCCTAATGCCAATCCGCTTGGATAAGCCGACGTGCAATATCAGAACTGTCGCTGTAACTCACCTCAAAACAGGATTAGATCCCCATTCTTGACATTGCTTGTTGGTTAGAAATTGGTCATGTTATGTACGGTAAAATTAGGTACGCTGAGTTATTCATAATTGTCATACGAAGCCGTTTGATTTTGAGTAGCACGTGTTGTGAGGTCGGTAAACATTTGTCTCAACATAATTGGCATCAGTGAAGATAAATTATCCAGACCGCCTGAACATGAACTTTGGTTTGATCTACTGGTGAAAGTTTTTACTATTGCTGCAAGAAGTCACTCGTGACTAAATTATCTGGAAGAAGGCACCGCTCCCTTTAAAATGCTCAAGACAGTGCCACATTAGTGCCAACAAAAACATACGCTGAGAGGTCGCAGAGCTCTCATTCAGTACAAAATTACAGGAATTCCATTGGATGCAACGGTATCAGACAATGCAATGTGTGTTCTCACTTTAAATTGCGGAAAATTGGGCCCGGCTGCTTTATTCCGAGTTCTCCAGAGCCGACAACGAGCCGCCCACGGTCACCAGGGTCGCCACGGTCCTAACGTCTGCATCGCGCCCGTTTCCAGAGATGGCGTACAGCTGGGACAACCGAGTCAAGTTCGTCGTCCGGTACATGTACGGTAAGTGCCCCGCCGGCCCGATCCGGCTTGCCCTGCCATGGCCCGGCCCGGCCCGCCCCAGCCAGGTCCGGCCCGGTCCTGCCACCCCCGGTCCGGCCCAGCCAGGTCCCGTCCGGTCCTGCCAGCCCCGGTCCGGTCCTGCCAGCCCCGGTTCGGCCCAGCCGACTCCATCCGGCCAGCCCCCACGGACCGGCATGGTCGCGGGGGGCGCCCAGGTGCACGGCACCGCCCACCTAACTGCGCGCCGGCCCGGCGCCACGACTCCCCCGGGGCGTATCGCAATTTGTCAGTGGCCGCCGGATCAGCGGCCTGAGGGGCGGCAAACTCGGACCGATTGGCATTCGCCGGCGGCGGCGGGCCGTACCCAGTTGAGGCTGATCATCGGCGCCGTGTAGACCGATGTACGGTTCGGCGAGGCGAGCCGTGACGGTGCGGGGTCGTTAGGCTGCGCCGGCAGAGGCTTTCCTGGATTAGAATGCATGCAAAGCTTGCCAAACAAAGCACGAATGAGGGTCCAGTCACCACCACCTGGTGTTTGAAAAGCCAGCATTACCGGCATAGGTAAGCCAAGAACCATTGATTTCTATTTGATAGCTATTTCTTTCGTGTCAACTACCCACACTCCCTCTTCACATAGCGTGAACGTAACAGTAGCTCTTGCCATTCCGACAACTTTCTCATCGATTTCATCCGTAGCAGCCACCGGGGTCGAATCAAAACGCGATCAGCATGATGGTTATGCTGTGCCGCCGTGCACGCGTTATGCCGGCACAGTCTACCAGGACGCTGCCTCCGGCGACGACCGCTCAGGCAGGAATTTCACGTCTTTGGCCCATTGAGGTCAACAAGAGATGTTTAAAATGGCAGACGTGATGGTAGCAAGGAAGCGTTTGGTTCATTGATTCGTGCACCAAGGCAGCTTACTTGGAAACATACTTAATTTTACAGCTAGACCACTCCAGAACTTTATCCCAATGCAGCGCGTCGCGGGTGAGCGGTGCCTAGTTGTACCTTGGTGCTGTGGCTGTATGAAGTGTTCTGTTTACTGCCAAATGCATTTGGTTTGCTCTCAGAGAAATACAGCTATTTGAAAAATTGGAAGTCACGTGCTATTTCTTTGAACCCCGCGAAATAGGGCGATGTTGAAAAAGGACAATAAGCTGAAATTGGGTTTGTTGACTTCTGTTCAAGACGTGCAGGGCCGGAAAGCCTGTGACAGCTTAAGTTCCGTTTATTTTCGTAGCAAAATCGTTGCTGGGGTGCGTTTTTGTCACCATTGCATCACTTGCTTGCTGCCATTAATACCTTTCGCCCAATTAACATCAGAACGCTATGCTGCTATACATTGGCAGCAGTGAATTCATCAGACGTCTGACGTTAAAATCCAATGAGTGCTCGATAACGAAAACAGGATGGGGGTGAAACTCGTCGCTTGGTTAGGACTCACGCCTCCGCTCCCCTTCCCCAGCCCCCCGCCCTTTGAAAAATGTGTGCAGGTGAATTTGCGCTGTAAACAGAATCTATGCTTCACTCACAAATGATCACAAGTGAATGAATACTACTGGCTAAATAAATATATCCCATGCAAATATAGCCAAGGCTTGCCTTTCCTCGCCGCCTTTGTTTTCGGACTCCAGCAGTCGCTCACATTCCACCCTGTTGTGCAGCGCGATACAATGGCTGCATTTCAACGTTAATCTGGCCGGAAGCCGCACACAGCCTAACAATGGCGCACGCGGCTCAGCTACGCAGTTATTACTAATGCGCCCGTTCTCAGCCGCGCTGAAGACGATGCTCTCTGCAAGTGTTCACACGTCTTTTATAGTGCTGATGTTCAATGCTCAACCGAAGCCAAAAATAGGCCGCGTCAGCACTAGAACCTCTTGAAAGGCAGGTGACAGAATGAGGGTGGAAGAAGGCAAGCAAGAATGAATCACTGTAAGTGAATAGATGTCACAGGAATGAGTGAACCCCATGCCAACCAAGTCAGTGTGTTAGGCGAGCAAAATGCCTACCTAAGATACTAGAGATTATTTCTTGGACTGCATGGCCAAATGTCCTGATTTAAGCAGGCGTGCTCGCTATCTTTGGTAGGTTGTGCTAATTCAGCTGGCATATAAAAAGATACTAATGCGCTTAATTTTGGACAAAATTCCCGCTACGTCGCATTAGTGCGGGTTGCATTCAGAAATTGTGGAGAAGACGTGTTCACAGTTGCACCCTAAAATTAGCGGACAGATTGGACCGCTTCGGAAAGGTCACCAGGAGCTACACTAATACGACCTCTGGCCTTGCTCTTAATGCCATTTCATGACCAGCTAATGAAGACGCATGGAGCGGCGCGGTAAGACCAAAGTGATAACAGACGCGAGTGCTGTCACTTATCACGCACATAACGCTAAAGCCCAAGCGAGCCCACCTTTGAAAGTCGTACAAACGGGCTTGGTCATTGTTACGGTGAGGGCGTCCCTCATGGGTGAAACAGGTATCAACGCCGAGCAGCGATTTGTGAGCCTCAATGTACGCAGGAGCAGCCATCAGGGGAGGGAACGCTATCACCTTACCTGGCAGATGTTTTATTCTGCCACTCATTCAAGAGCTGGACGCGGAAAGCACTTGAGTTGCGTTCCGGACCTGGCCGAGCACCTTGGTTCGCTGGCGGCTCGAGGTATGCGCTGGGATGCAGAGCGGACTACGAGCCGAGGCTTTGTGTTCGGCGATGGCTTCTTTCTTCACATGCCCGAGTATGCCGTCCCTGCACATAGACATTCTTTGTTGTGCTGTCCGCGCGCTGCTTCGCGATGCCACATGGACTGAAGCTGACTGACTGTGGTTTCGGCCATAATTAGTAATCTCAGTTGTAGGGACGGTGTTATTGGTGGCTATATAAATAGCATGGCTGGGTTTTGATAATGACCAACTGGAACTGAGAATGTGCAGTTTTTGGCTCAATTCCTCCGGGTTTCGGCATGGTCGTCGTCGACGTCGACTCTCGACACCGCCAGGCGGACGGCCTCTTGACCTGCCTCCGAGAGCGTGTGGTCGGCCGCACGCGTCATCCCCGTCCTTTGTTCCCTCCCCTAGAATTTCATGTAGTTGTCATTGCCCAGTCCTCAGTTTACCGCACAGCGGGTTGCATTTGAGGCCGATCTCGGAAAAGTTTACTCCGTGATACTCTATTCTACACATTAAACGGCTAACACTCGACGTGCTCATGGGAGAGAGCCCAGAAAGCCGCACCCATTAAAAACAGACCACTTCATCTGACCTCTGCTCGGAAGCTCAGCGTTGACTGAGTGCCTCTGCATGGTGAAAAGGGTTTGCATTGTGTAAGGCCTTACGTACCTTGGATCTGGACTAACTGGATCGATCAGTCCAGATCCCGTCTGAACTGGACGCGCCCTGGCAGCTCAAGCGCTTTCGAACACAAGAGTATCTTCGTCACGAGATTATATGAATATATATATATATATATATATATATATATATCCCTCTTTCTTCTCTCTCTCTCTTCTCTCCTCTCTATCTCTCTCTCTCTCTCTCTCTCTCTCTCTCTCTCTCTCTCTCTCTCTCTCTCTCTCTCTCTCTCTCTCTCTCTCTCTCTCTCTCTCTCTCTCTCTCTCTCTCTCTCTCTCTCTCTCTCTCTCTCTCTCTCTCTCTCTCTCTCTCTCTCTCTCTCTCTCTCTCTCTCTCTCTCTCTCTCTCTCTCTCTCTCTCTCTCTCTCTTTCTCCCATTTACAGAAGGTATGAGATTTATTTCACATTGCATTCAAAGATTTTCAGTGAAGTTCAGCTCAGTGGAGTCTAGCAGATGCGGTTCTAGTATTCATTGAGTTCGTTCATCAGTAGCACTCACTCATTAGCACTCAGTAGCACTCACTCAAAGAACAGTCACGGTGTACAGCGCATGGATGGCCCAAAGCTTACAATTAGTCACATTTTTATCAAATGTGATCCTGAAAGGTTGGTTAAAGCCAACACAGCGCTTTTAAATCACTACATCTTAAGTATGGTGGTAATCACAGGAAAAGTCAATCAGTTTCAGCGGTCCAGCCACTTCGCTGAGTGCATGTGTGCGGGGTTTTGGTGGCGTTCACAGTCAGTGGAACTTATCCTATGTATTCGTACGCGCGGAAGCCTGGGGGCTCAAAGCTCGTGGTGGACTGGAATGTTTGACCAACGTAATGATATTCAAACAGGGTAGCAGCAAGACGTGATGTCGTTATCGATACCATGCAAAGACTAAGCTTATGGAACCAGTAAAGCCCCATTGGCGGTAAGGGTTGAACGAGGTAACAACACACGCGATTGTAGCATCATGCCGATAATACCTTAACATAAGGAGATGGAATCAGTCGCGTTTGCCGACCCATGCAGATAGGACTTATCATGGCACCGATGTATCCTCCCTTCACGAGTTTAGCAGGCGGAGATGCACTAATGTTTGGTTCCGCGCAAGTCGTCCGTCATCTATATGCCATTTACGGGATTACTATACAGCGATTGCTATGAATGTGAAAATTATGGCTAACAAAGCCTAAACCATAAAATAAAGCCTGTTAGGCAACACAAATTTACGACCGACAAGGCTCGAATATTGCCTGGTTATAGTATAGTTAGTCTTCCATAACTGATATTCTATCACGAATTGATTTGGAAAAGGTGGCGTTCTCGTTGGTTGTGACCAAAATGGTACGCAAAATCACTGACATCTTCAAGTAAATAGTGGTGATAATAAACCTGGCTGTACACCTCTGCAATTTGCATGGTCCGATCGGCATCGGTTAAGACCACAGCGTGTCGCACTGGAGGTGGACTTCGAAAAGGTGACAATGGCTGCTTTCCTTTCACTACCGGCGCACCAGTTAGGCGCCTAATGTTCAGATACCCCGATGGTGGTTCATTCACCCGCACCGCACATCTGATTTCACGTCTCTAACTTCTTTGGTTGACCCGATCTGACCTGATCTGACCTGTCTCGACCCGGGACCTTGACCTTG